TCACCGTTACTGTTTGATTTCTTACCTGTCTAAAGGTAAATCTATCCCTCACACTGTACACACACACACTTCTATCCAATATTATCCAACACAAATATGTCTTCCAGATTTCAAATCAGACTAGTCCCAAGGAAATCTCTGATTTCTTTGTCTCTATAAACTTGAGAGTGGAGTTATGCTATTTCCGGCTGTCTAAATATATACACTTGAAAGTACCTTTAATATGTGACAAATGGCTCATCACTGATGTACATTAGCTACCTGTGTGTATACGCTAAGTTATTAGGAAATAAAACACCACCAGAAGGAGGCGTGTCTTGACTGAATTCGATGACAAGGCACACCGTTGATTCGCTTCGACACAGACAGGTGTGATTTCATTGCTATTTTCACTTGTGGGTACAAGGGTAGAATCTAGGAAAATATTTTTATGGCAAGCTTTTTTTGGGAGTGAATTTTGTCCCACAATAAATCTACCCTGAAGATAACCAGGTGTTGGAAAGGTCTCTGATCTAAAATCAACACAATTTTAAGTACACAGGACCAAATAAGAAGTCTAGATCAAATATTTTGTCAATTTTTACATTCTACACATAACTTGCCTTGCAATCTAATTTAAGCCTATTGTAAGCTCTTTTCCATCCTAAACTGCACATTGTAAGCCGACAAGGGGAAGTAAATCTGATCTGCAATCCATCAATACTCTGCAAGCAGCTAATAAAATCTTAACCTCTCAATGACTGAAATATTTCTTATGTTGTATACCTCATCTTTTTTTTCTGACCTTAATTAAGTCTGGGGGATGGAGATCTAGCTTTTATTTTTATTTTATTTTATGCATTGCTACCATGAAAACTGATAAGATGATCTAGGGTGTGACCATTAATTGATTTTCTACCCTCTAACATGTAAACACATGTAATAAGAATAAAGGTCAGATGCACATAGTCCATATATCACATGACATTACCCCTATAGGTGATTTCAGTAACCATAGATTCTGATTTGAGGTTCGAGATGAAAAATTAACTCCCTTAGCAATTTTTTGTAATAATGATAATGCATGTACAAGCAAGACACAGGTACATGTAATGATATTAAAGCAAGTTCACACATAAAACACTTAGTCAGACTATGATTTAATTTTAATTCAGCTTTAACCATGTTTATCATATATACTGGGGTAGGTTCATTATACCCCGGCCCCGCTTGAAAAGTGGGAGAGTATAGTGATCAGGCGCGGATCCAGAAATTGAAGTTAGAGGGGGCGCCAAATGTAGGCAAGGGGTCTGGGGATTCTAAAGATTTTGTAGGGTAAAAATGGGGTCTACCAAGCAGACATATTTATATTTTCTAGACGAAACTGTGATTTACGTTAACTTTGACAATTTAGGGGGGGCGCGCACCGGGTGCGCCCCCCCCCCTTAAATCCGCCACTGGTGATGGGGAGTCCATTTGTCTGTCTAGCTGTCTGTACATCCATTTGTGCTATTGTACACCTTCTATTTTACTTTTTGATTTGTCACTTATTTTGGGTCTAGCTCCCATAGCAAATCATGGACTTCGCCATTATAATGATATGGGAAGTGGGGGTATCATGTAGTGAGCTTTATAGTGCTCACAGTCCATCTATTTGTTTTTGTGCATATGCAGATTTTATTTTTGACTTTTCTTTAATCTCCAGTGACTGTTTGGTGGAATTTCTAGACTGCCAACAGTAAATATAATAAAATATTAACACTAAATTATGCTATTCATTATTTTCTGAAAGTGAACACTGACTTAACAAAACTTGAAATAGTGAATGTGTCTAACGGTGGGCAGCCTCATTATAGGCCCCAGTATTCCCAAATTTACCTTTAAATCAGGTACCCCCTACTGCCTCTAGAAATTAACCATACATTTTACCATATAATAAATCAGACATTTCATAAATACTTCATAAATTGACAAAGATACAGATATTTAATTTCATTGCTATGTCAAAGTATTTCAAAAGCAAATATGTACCATTATTAAAAAGTCCTTTAAATTATGGCCTTAACTTGTGGTCCAATAATTATTTTTAATAAAGTCTAACTCATATTTTATAAATTCTATCACATATTGATAATTATCAATATGAAATGTGGATAAAAGTTGATGAGACATTGAATTGCTCACTTTGCTCAAGTTCTAAAATATACTGCTGGAATAATTTCATACAACATTTATAAAATATTGCCTTTCAAAGGACCTCATTGTGACTGAACCATCAAAGCTAGAGACTGAATACCAAGAGTCAAGGACAGATCGGGCTGATGTATATTTTGATATATATGTAACAGAGTAACCGAATTCTTATTTCTAACACAAAGGTCCTTAAAAGTCATCAAACTTGAAATCAAAGTAGCTTTTCTGACACTTGTTCAAAGCTATATGCCATCATAAACTATTGATGTATAGAAATCGGCTATGTACACCTTTTTTCTGGTCTAAATCAGCCTCGATTGGAATAGAGTACAGTGGGGTAAACTTACTCATTATGAGAAGGGTATATATCTTCTGATGGCTCCCCCAAACCAGAATCTTTGTCACCCTCCAAAACAGAACACGATTCCACTATCACAGACTCCGTGTTACTTTGTTTTGAAGCTGAAAGTCCCATTATTAATTAAAGCAAACACCACACAATATTTGATGTTTAGTACATATATCTTCCAGATTAGAAGTCTTGATCCTTTGAAAAATTACTATAAATTGTCCTCTTCATTTGAAAGTTTAGTATTTTCCAGATAAGAAGTCTTCAGCACTTGAAAGTGCACCAGCCATCTTCCAGATCAGAATGAAGTCTTGATCATTTGAATGTTTAATATGGCTATCTACTAGATCAGAAGTCTTCTTCCTTCAGATGTTTTCTATCTTCCAGATCAGAAGTCTTCTTCCTCTAAATGTTTACCTTCTTCAATATCAGAAGTCCTCCTTAATTGTTATTATTGGTAGAGAGTCACAGAATGAACCATCATGGCTGTCTGTGACATAAGAGCAATGCCAGGCAGGTAATGAATTAGAAAATGGCCAGTGTTCCAGACAGTGGCGATCAATGTCTCTGTGTTAGATGACACCAAACTCATGTTGTTTGTAGGTAAAACTTAACCCTCGTGAGCAGAATTCCAAGCTCTGGGTGCACTGTGTCACCTGCCACAGGAACCAGGAGCGGGTGATACCCACCAACGTCTTCCAATGTCAGAATATCATGTTGTCTCCACATCCATCTGGGTGAGGGATTAATGGCTTGTGATTCTGCTAGACTGACATCTCACAGCTCCCTCACATATGTTATTACAGAGAGAATATCTACCCATCATAAAAATTCCTTGAATAGTATCCAAGCTTGTGATGCAAAGAGGTGCAATGCTATAAAATGTATTGGCCTTGTGACTTTGGTTTGAAGTGTTTGCTGCCTCTTTTATGGTTTATATTAAATATTTCATGCCGTCTTATTATAGGGTGCCACATTTCATGATTTACCAATATGGGTTGTTCCTTCATCCTGCTTGTTACAGAGAGTAAGAATAGTATATATACCTATTATTTTCTTGTAAGACAAATTAACCAGGTGTTTTTTTGTTTGTTTGTTTTTTTGTTTGTTTTGGTTTTTGTTTTCATTTTCCTATGTTAGGGTATCACCTGACAGTGATTAACAGAGTTAATTAAGCCGTAACTGTTTTAATTTGGTACAAGTGACTGAGCCAGAACTTAGAAAAGTAGAATCAGACTGAGAGCCAAGACCGCAGACAGCAGTGGGCTATAGTGGTACAGCGTGTAATAATGGGGTCAGCCATGCAGCGGAGGATATATCTACCCGATCGTGTCATCCGTCCCGAGATCAAACGCACTCGGGTTACCACTGCTATCCCACAAGGCCAAACAGATAACTCTGATCCACAGAAGACCAAACCACAAATGCGGGGCCAATAGTTTTATGTGCTCAGTCCTTTAAATAATTAGAACTACCAATTTATAGAAAAGGAGATTTGCTTTACTAGTGACATAAAAAGCATTGAGTTGGTATTGTTTAATCTCTATTAAACAGCAAAGGCAGGTCTGGGCAGTAATATTTGTTAGAGGTGTGGAAATTTAAACATAGAATTTCTGTTCAGGCAGAATAATTTTATTAGATATGGGGTTTTAAGTGATTTCAGTCATATTTGTTTAGAAATTATATTCATTATATTGACAACAACGACAGAATTCTCGACCATGTTCTAAATTTGTTTCATTATTTAGAAATTCCTTAGAGCCGGCTTTTCACATTTGACTGCACATGACAGGAACTTGATTAAATCTTTTTGTCAGTTTTTCATCCATAAAAATATTTGACTAATATAATAACAAGCATTTATGGGTAAATTAGAATTCAAGGTTAAAAGGCTATCAATGTCTCAGAAAGAATGCTTTGTGGAAGAACTAAGGGGACTAGATCCTCAAGTGTATGTGGCACGGGTACGTCCACGATTTATGAGGCCTCAGGCGCCAAAACGGGCACTAATGCCATCTATTTTACTGCAATTACTAATACATTGAAGAAATTGTAAAAATGGAGGAAACAACCATTTAAAGATTTTCAATATAAACTAATACACAATATTTTTCAACCAGAAGATAATGATCGAGCCAAACACGTGCCTATAATGTATGATAGGACGTAAATAACTCAAATTGGTTTAAATTATTTTTGGCATGTCACATTAAAGTACAGTTTAAATTCAAACAATACTCTTTAACTACTTAAATTTATATCTAAATTGCAAAAATTAACATATCATTATAACTTAATGTAATATGTTCTATCATGAAGGTAACACATAAACTGTTTTCAGACAATTAGAAAACAGATATTTAGACCATTTAGCTAAAGTAACTACTATAGTCAAACTTGAAATGGGCACCATATATGAATTCAAACAAAAAAATTACTGCTACCAACAATTTAATTCAAATTAAATTTTTTTACGTACTGAAAGCTCTCGACCCTGCGTTGCCTCGGCTTCATTTTCTCTGCTGATCTTGGATCGTCTGTTGTTGTAGCGATGTCATCCTGGTTCCCAGACTGATTCCTTTCCCGCTCCTGGACTTCTCGCGATCGATGAAGAAATGAAGAAGACCTAAGAATCTTCACACTCGACTCAAGTTTGGAGGTCCCCCTGTTAGAGGAAATAAGACCACTGGTTATTAATGAAGGTGTTGTTGAAGGGTTATCGAAATATTTTTCAAAACCACTTGGGGTTACTGAAAAGGGGGAAAAGATAAAAATGAAACTTTATACAAACAATATTGACACCAATTTAATACAAGAGGAGCAATAGTAGGGAAGATCAAGGTCCTCAAGAAGCTTGTGATTACAGGAATACCCAGTTATTGATAGTCTACGAACAATTTCTTGAACAATGCCTGCAGATCTTGTTACATAGTGTATTGATAAGCTTTTTGTTAGATCATGATGAAAGATTTTCTATAAAATTGAGAATCATTCTGCCTATATATCATAGCATGATTGCAGGTGAAAAGGTTTTTATTGTAGCTAAGACCACAAGAATCACAGACTTATAATGACAGACCCACACTGGGGATCTGCAATACCAACATGTGATAGGCCGCAGCTTTTTATTTGTTCAAAGTTTCCCATTCTTTGCATTAAATACCATGTTTGCTCCCTTAACAATGGGGATTGCACCACATACCTCTGCACATTAAATTACACCACTAGTTACAAAGCAACACAAGCAAAAAATAAACTACCGTCTCTTTAGCTTTCAAAAGCAAAACGTTTTTACATTTTCTTTACAAATGCTTTAATGTAAAGTCTCATAATTACAGAAAGAGAAAGTAACCATGCAGTAACTGATTGAAGGACTATACTGGGATTCAAACTGGGACCCTTGAATCTCCAGTCAGGTGCTCTACTGTCTCAGCTATTTGGCCACTGGAATCAAATCCTAATTTGCAATCAGTTAAACACTGCATCAGTCCAGTACTTCTGGTGTACAAACAACTTTCTCATTGACAAAAAAAAAAAATAAACAACACTTATGTTATTTCCTTGAAAAAAAAAAAAAGCTTTTAAGAAAACTTTCCAAACCATATGTAACAGAAGAATCACCTGACAAGTTTCATGTAATCCACGTAGTTTAGACTCGACTGTCTCTTCATTTTACAAAAAATTAATTAAAATGAACTTTTACAGTTTCTCCACAATTTTAGATTTCTCAGCAAATTTCTCTTTCCACAGTCATTTGAAGTAACAGTCCTAAATCCATTTGCTAAGAATCAAATCAGTGGTAAAACAGACAATCCTGATGACAAATGCTGTTTTAAACTTTGGCAAAATCCTAATATATGTGATTTTATCAGATTTTGTTTTAAAGAACTATTCATCCCTTCCCAAGCTTAGCATGTTAGATTGTATTATTGTACACGCTCTACCCTAGTTCTTTCATCTTTCACCTAAACTTCCCGATATTATAATGTCACTTGTCCCAGTTTTGTTAGAAATGTATCAATTACAAGAAACTGTAACAGTATATCCCACACCAATGTTAAAAACTAAATAGAAGACCCAACAATATTCCCTAATTCCTACATTTAATGTACCATAAAAGTCGGTTTTGGTGGGATTTTGTTGTTGTTGTGTGGATGTAGCTATTTAACAAGAGTAATTTTATAGTGTCCTGCCACCCATTTACATGTCAGCTGGGCTTCTGTATTAAGAGGTTGCCCTCCATTGCTCCAAATCTAGATAGCTTTGTTTCGAGCTCCGGTGTCAAAGTATGACACAACATGTCCCCTGTCCCTAACTTTAACCCGATACACTCAGATACAAACATTCTTTGGCGGCCCTTAGGATTTACGTACCCTTTCTTTAACAGCCCTACTGGGTGCATGGTACTAGACAGGCACTGACACTCTCCGGTTGCTCTGACAGGCCTCATATAATGGTACATGTACTCACTAAGCACTAACAATAGGAAGTCAAAAGGCCCTACTCATGACTGGTATCCAAAAGGCAATCATGTCTAAGTCTTATCCGAGTATTCCACATTCTGTACTGGATGATTATACTCAGCTTCTTTCCTATTTTGATAAACTTACTGGAAAATAAAGATACTGAACAGGCAAAGAAGAGCAATTTACCAAAGTAGGAGCATGATGAATGCTCAGAACCCCTCCCTCCACCTTCAATTTATCATTTACTCCCCCCTCCCCCTCAGAAGTTAATACAAAGGCATCCTTAGTTATCAAGTGCTGCTCTTCTTTAATTTGGCATTTAAATTTGGGCAAATATAAGATAAACTTATTTGTATCTAATTAACTGACAAAGTTTTTTGACCCTCTAAGGTGCAGAAAAAATGCAAATATGAATAACACTGAATCACTTAAAGGAATTCTTAAAATTACATTTTTGGCTGCAAAAGGAATATTCATAACAAAATAAATAATAGCAATGGTATTTTGATAAATGAATTTAAAGGTTTGGGTTTTTTTTTCTGTGGTTTGTATTGTTGCATCAGACAAAGGTCAGTGAGTACAGGGGAACCAGCTTAGGTCTACTCCTTCTTAAGAACTTGTCCTTAATATATCTTTTGAATCATTCATAAAACAATAATGCATCATTAAAAACAGAAAGATTTATAAAGTCCTTAAGAAGAACCCTTTCCCTTTGCAATGATATTTCAAAGTAAAGAGCTACGAATATTGATAAAATCAAGTAGACTATTTCAAATCTTACATGCAAGAACTTTTGACAATCACATGCAGACATAAAATTTTACAATCAACATTCCAGATTTACAAGTATCTATATATTTACATTTTTAATTACCTGGCCAGCAATTATTATTCATAAGCGTTATGGATGATCAAAACTTTTATATACAAGTACCAAAAGGAGATAGGAATCATTATTTCAGTGATTTTCAAACACAGAAGAAAATCTTGGTAAATACATTTAAGGAGGGTGGACCAATTTTACATTCATCATATACAATGGTGTAATCACTAAATTACAAAGGGATCTGGCAGAATTACAGGTTTTGAAGAGAGAATTATTTACTACACCTGCATGATGACATTAAAGCAAATATTTCATAAAATTTTAAGTGTTGTATAGCAATAGGAAAGGATTTTATTAAAGAAATTAAAGGTTTTCTTCTTCACACAGTTTTTTGTTGTTTTTTTTTTTTACTTTACAATTTTTTTTTTCATTTATTTTCTTATTGTAATTTTTTTTTCAAGGCTGTAGATACACAATTCAAAAATGAAATTCAACACATTTTAATTATCCAGGTGTATTTTATGCTTTGAAACTAATGATCCAAGGTGTTGAACATGAAAATACCTTTATGTATAGACAGAATTTGATTATTATTTAGAGAGAGAGAGAGAGAGGTAAAAATATATATACTTACAAACTTTAAGTACAAATCTTCCCTACAATTATAACTTATAGTTATACCAAAGACAAGACTTAATTGGCGGTCTCCAGGAAAAAAGAAAAGAAATTCTCTGTGTAACATAAAATTAAAGAGGGTCAAATCATTTAGTCCCAGGGTGAATGCCCTTAAATAATTTTACAGGCTAACCAAATATTGAACATGAATTCAATATTAAGCTTTATTTTAATGCACTTAACCTTTCAACATGTATCAAATAACCAATTTAAGAAGCTTTGAAATAGTACATAGGAAAACATTTTCTACTTTCAGAAGTGTTCTTTAACAAATATTTGCTCATTATAAGATGAAATTTGTTGTTGTCAAGTGCTGATTATAAACCACTGATCATTTGATCTCCTGGAAGTAATCTAATTGGTTAAGTCTCTTCTTGTAAACTTTTGTTACAAATACCCCCAAAGGATAAACTGGAACCCTAGCTCTAAAGATGAAAAAGAGGACCAATTTCTGATTTTCTCCCCCTTAAGCTACCTTTGCAGTCAAAAGGTGATGTTTATTGTTAAAAAAACCAAAACATTGAATTGGTTACAATTCATCCTTAATTTAATACCAGGATTTGTCTAGACTACAATGAAGCTAATGACCTTTGCAACATATAAGGCAAACAAGAAAGAAAACTGTACATCTGAATCGGCGTTGGAATGAACAGATAGATATCTGATGTGCAACAAAAATGATTAAAGGTAGCCCAGCTGTTAGGCAATGTCTACTGATGACAATGGCCATTGTAAGAGCATCAAACCAAACAGAAGACGACTGCAATTCCCGATCGTTATCACAGTCTATCTCTGATCTAACGATTAAACACCTGAACCCAAAATAAAGGTAAAAAACACCTTGTTTTTAACAAATGGACCAAACCTATAAAATGCTCACTCTGAAATCCATTATCTAATTCTTTGAGAAACTGTATCCTTTAAATGACAAACAAGCACTTAGAGGACCTGGTTACAGAGACATTTTGTTCCTTAACTTACCCAATCTGACATGCTGCACTGGAGCAGAAAAAGTATATAAACCTGAGTATATAAAAACATACATGGTTTATGGCAAAGAAGTTAATAGGATTAAGTTATAAACCTTGATAGGATGCACAACTCATGTTTTCTTTCAACAAACTTTAGTTTAATTCAATAAATCCTCTTTAAACATCCATTTCTAGTGATATTCCCAAAACTCAAATCAAAAAATAAAGTATTCCAACTTTCTGTTACTGGAAAATATTCTAGCTCCTCCATCAATTTCTTTACTATATGTCTAAATTTTAATGTCCAGAGTGTTACCATTTACTATAGTATGCTGCTGATCAAAATTCTTCGAAAAAAATGAATCCACCAACCCAATGAATGAATTCATGGACTGGTAGCTAACAAGAAAGTCTGCAGACTGGTGACAGTAGAATTCTATCAGTGTCATCCATGTTGACCACTGGTCAGTATGTTTGTAGTAAAAAGTATGACCACATCAAGCAGGTTACCATTAATGATAGAATGTCTCTTCTTATGCTCCTTGTTAAAGGTTAATTATGGTGAATCTTGCTCATGGATGGATAACCATTCCGAAATAGATTTTCCTCAGGTTTTTTTTCCACCTTTCATCACAATTAATCTAAATGGAATTTGACTCCAAGTTTTGACAAGTCTGTAGATTTAGAAAAATTCTTGTTTTAAGAATCTGACATTTCCTGTCAACAT